TAATCGCAAAAGATGCATATATGCAAATTATTTGAAACAATTCAAATATACAAGTCTTATAAGAACTTATATGTCCACGCATATCCGTCAAAAATCTTTACAATGCGAAATCTGCGGTAAACTTTTTGCATGTAATGTACGTTAGCACATGCCTGACATGGCGATATAAAGGGCAAAATTCGTTTTAAGGGCAAAATTCGTGCTTGATTCTCTTCCCACTCACATAATATGATTTGAAAAAAAGGACTGAAAAGACGCAGCGCAAATTTTATAACTATACGTACTTCACACTCACGTTTTGGTTACCTGTTTTTTAAAGTACAGTAATTGCAAAGGAAACATTTACAGAATTTGCAATACTTTTTGAGTGCCTTTAGAGCCAGTTTACTTTACTTTAAGTAACTAGCTGTAAGTTCCGCTAGTCTTTGCCATTTATTATGATAATTATGGATAAATTATAGATAAATTCTTATTGCGTGTCTTTTCGCATTTATTCTATTTTTGGGCTTTATGAATGGATTAATGCATTAAATTTGATAGAAAAATTGCACATCTCGCACTTACGTGTCTTTTCAAACTATGTACGTACGAGAAATATTCATAAAAAGTTCGTGCTAGCAACTTTGTAGTGAAATTTGTAGTTCGGAAGTGAATCAATCCTCATGTTTTGCATATTGATCAGATCTAATGCTCACATCTCTTAGTGACAAGCATAACAAGGAGTATTTCTCATGCGGTGTTTGTACGTATCTCTAAGCAATAACAATGACCACGTACTCAAACATGACAAAAAACCAGCGCAAACGTATTATTCATTTGATATCACGTGAAATACTACCGTACAAATATTGTAACATTTTTATGTTTATTATACAACTTTTTGGGTACAGTTTTTACTTGACTTGCATAGATGTTAAAGTATGTACTTTCTGGTAAAACTGTAGCACATTTTCTCTTTCATCTATAATTATTGCTAGAAAATAGTGATTTTGCACTATGCCACATGACGGAGCGAACCATAAAAGTGTGTTATTTGTTCTTGATCTTATGAGGTATGAACTCCTGCATGAAACAGACTTCCAGATGGATAATGTCAGTCCTAACACGTAAGTCGAACAGTCATAAAACAAAAATTTCATAGCTTGGCACGGTATCTTGGCATTAGTTAAATCTTAGACAGCAATTTGCGACGTTGCGCGGGTATGACTGAATAATAAGCTCCATCTCGATAAGTAAACAGTAAGCTCGAAGCAGTTCTACAGTCTCACGGACACACTATACGCACCAACACGGGAAACTGGTATGAAATGAAAATTTATCATAATTGCATGCCATTGGGATTATCCAATACTAATGAGAAACTGGGAGCTATGAAAAACATCCTAAATCCATCAACAACGACACTATCACAGCGCAAATAATAGTAGAGACATCATAATTCTGCATGTATAAGAGACTCACTTGCAGTCACGTGCACGCACATGCACCTACTTACACGCGCATACCTACTTACCACGTATTTTTAACACACACGTTTGCAGCGTACATACTTACGCAGATAGCGTACAACATATAACATAATCGCACTTATTACTTGCACTCACATTCCTTACCTACATACAGTTCTCGCTTACTCATCCTTATTTACACTCTATTCATAAATCTTACCTACACGAATATACATACGTATATATTTATTTTCGAATGTATAGCATTCTTACATATTTGCACCAACATATATTCGCGCACACACCGACGCGCATATGTGCACGTACACAGACTCTAGCCCAATTATACTTGCACGTACACACACACACTCGCACTCGCATATTTGCACACTCATATATGTACACGCAAATAATAGTGCACATATATTTGCACACCCTTGAGATTTGCACATATAGCTCTGATTACACTAGCTTACTGAAACACCGTGCACGCACATATTTATATGCACTCACTAGGTCTATACTCTTTTTTTGAACGTCTAACAAATCAATAATAATAAGGTCATCTCTTACGAGCAATCAAAATAGTAGGCGGGGCACTGCACACAGCCGCTTCACTTATATGTTAGCGGAGAGTACTGAGTGACGTATTGTCTAGACCCCCCATTTTGATTGCCGGCTGCATTTAATACCGCTCTCTTGATTCCTGTCGACGTAAGTTTGTATACTTGAACTGCTTATACTAATCTTTACTTCTTCGCATTATCACTATAAATATCACTTCATTTTCATTTCTGTAATTGATCTGATTTAAAAGTGAAAATGGATATATGATCTGAAGGTTGCAGATGATTGAGCACCATGGCAATACTCAACTTTGGAATCAAAGTTGAGTTGCGGATAACAGGAATCTGAGCTGTCTGTGCCCTAGTATCATGAGAAGCGAGAATGGAGTTAATTCTAACTCCATTTAAAAGTAAGTTCAGAAACTGATCTAATAAAATTTGATTTTTTTATATATCACATAATTTGTATGATAGTTTTTTTCTAATTTCAGATAAGGGCGAGAAGTCGCATCTATCGGAATTAAGCAAGGCAGAACCAAACACTTCGATCATGATTTTTTTTAATAAATTTATTTTTGAAACACTTGGTTTTGAGTTTTTGAGAATAAAACTCACCATTTGTTACCAAGCGGCTGTTGCTCCTCATGGTATCAAATCCATGTGGAGAGGTGCAGTAGCATGCAGGTAAATTTTATCAAATTCACACTTAGTAGTAGACGAACAATGCATTTAGATATTCTTAATTAATTTCAAATTACTTGGACGAGAGGAATATTATTAGCGCTTTAACAAGTTGAAAAGTTGAAAAGCTTAATTCACAGTTTCAAAGTTGATTGGAATTGGTTTCAGTTACAAACGAGTAACATTACTTGAATACTTTAAGAATCAATTTTTATATTCCGTCAAATGGCTTATATCAATCAGCAAAATATGTGAAACTTTTCTTTCAGAGATCAAGTTAAATGGAATGTAGTGCATCTCAGAAGCCGAACTATCGAATTATTATCATGAGCACTACATTTGAAGGAAATTTTTGTGCTGCTACGAGTGCATAAGCACATCTCTTCGCTTCATATAATTTGGCATTAATTTTGGGTGGCAATCAAGGAGGTCACATAAGTGACCATTATATCTGCAAGTTTGCTGAAGAAGATGCGAAAAATTTAAACATGTTAAGTAAAATTAATTTTTGATTTTAATTGTATTATACTTTATTATTTATATTATACTTAAGCATATTTTGCGTGTTTTCTTTTGTTTATTCGTTACTGTATTAATTTGTTTAGAAATTATTTATTTATTATTACAAAAATTTATTACTTTGGTATTAAACTGATTGTAATGTTCATAAATTTGATAATTTGTAGAAAATGTAATTATTGTAATGTATAAATTGTAATATTATTATTATGAGTGACGACTTGTTGCACAGACTGTATTTTTACATTGTTTTTCTGCTATGTTAAAGTGATTCTCGAAAACATTCATTGTTGTTAATAGCAGACATTGTATATTAATTACAATTATTGATATTTAAGAAATTAAATAAAGTTATTTAACAAAAATTCAATTTGCATCGCATTAAATCGAGTTTGAAAAATTTGCTTGTAATGTGGACATTGAAGAGATTGCATACTGCTTTTCCAATCAAGTGACATATCTGATTCCCT